ATGCATTTGATGTTCCAAAATCTCAGTATGAATTATATTTATTAATGATTGTATAACAATCGATTTATTGAACCAACTTATACAGATGGCATTAACAACAAATAATTATTTAATTGATACTGAAGCGGAAAAATAGTTTCCTAATTTATTACAAATCAAGGTATTCATATCTAATCATCAATCAACAGTTATATATACTGTTAATACATTTTCGTCTCGATCCTGATCAGTTTCAATTGGTCCAAAATATTGGGTTCCTCTGTTCGAGGCAAAACTCGGTCGAACTATCTTTTAAATTCTTTTTGTACATTAATTGATGGTGATAAGCGAGAATAATCAAATAATTGAAATATAATTAATGTGCATAATTCTGTTTGTAATGAGTTCCAAGAATATAATGTATTACCAGTTGTAAATATTACTCCACATAGCTGTTGTATTTTATGGATTAATTTTGTCGACTGCGGTGGTAAATATGCCACTTCAGTTAGCATAACTGTTGATAGTTGATTAGGTATGAATGCCTTGATTTGTAATAAATCAGGAAACTATTTTTCCGCTTCAGTATCAATTAAATAATCATTTGTTGTTAATGCCATCTGTATAAGTTGGTTCAATAAATCGATTGTTATACAATCATTAATAAATATAATTCATACTGAGATTTTGGAACATCAAATGCATTACACTGTTTGCGTAACTGTTTATTTCTAGATGCTTTTCTTGTTGCGTTCTATAATGATTTCGTTGATCGGAGGTCAACGCTAAATTTGATGGTTGAGCAGATTCTGGATTTGCATATTACCTAGATGGTTCACTATGAATATGAATATAATTGTGTGACATACTAGAAGGGTAGGGTTCAAAAGACATGTATGCAGGATAGATTCTAATCAGAATGGGTTTAAATCTTAGAGATAGGTTAAAGGTCCCGGTTATTCTTGGTTATACATGTAAGGAGTAGATCCCTGTCTTTCTTGCACCTATGTTCGTTGAAATCATTCAACACTAACAGATGTAATTTATTAACAAATTACTTGTCGACCCATAGTTAGTTAAGAAACACTCAGGACTATGATCTAACTGTAAGCTATCAGGCAGCCAGAATTGTAATCAGAATCAGGATCGCATAATAAGTAAACGGAACAATTCCCGAATGAATAAAGAGTTATGGGTAAGAATTATTAGAAGAATTAGTTCTTTGCTGATTCGATGCACTACAGATGCAAACGATACCTACACTATTGAGATGTTTATGCTGGTATATAATACTGTAAGTAGCTATAAAACCAGAACGATGGTTATTTCCTCATATGTATGTGTCACTTGTGCCCCCGCATGTTTTCAGCCAGAAACCATTTGAAAAATGAACTCAGTTTTGTTGAAAACTAAACTTACCATCTTAAAGTCCATTACAAGACTATGAGAATATATATAACTCTCAAAATCAATTTTCTGACTAACTGTTCTTGGGCTAAGGGAGAAATGCTGTTAAACGATGTCACCAATTATCTGTAATTTTGCTACGAAGTTTTGCTGTAGATATTCTGCTCCTTGCAGAAACAAAACTAAGAAAAAGACTTCAATGAAAGATAAAGAAATGGAAAATATTGATAGTGAGCTATTGACAACATAGCTTAGAATGAAAAATATAATTAGAGAGAAAAACACAGATATGTAACTGTAACTGATTTGACTCTGAGTAGTGGAAAGTGACATGTTTCATAATACTGCTCTACCATGGTAATATATAGCAACACTTCATATTTCAATATGCATCATTTGGTACTTGTAAATATGATCCAAAAAAGGCACATTGATATTGTTAATTGTTTAGTTAAATTTAAATACTTTCTCAGCTTTTTTGCAAAGTTCTTCTGCCAGTTGACAAGCTCTATTTGCATCAGCTAAAAATCAAGACAAAATGCGATATTTTTATTAGTTTATCGTTAAATGTGAGAAAATGAAACGGCGGTTGCAAACAGATGGTATATTGTCGTGACCATTTTCTGAATGTGAGTTGAAGCAACTCCTTATTAGTTTTTGCGAAGGGGCTGTTTACAAAATAATTAACAATAAAACTATTCTAATTGACCAGACATAAAATACTAATGAAATGTGTGATGGATGGAGATATCGATCAGGTAGCTCAGTGGTTAGAGCATAGATATGGAATGTTAAGGTCCTGGATTGGAATCCGAGTCTAGTCACATATTTTTCCTTCGCATATGGCCATCTCGCGCGGTGCTGTGTATAACATCTCCAGTAACCAACGAACCTATGTTAGAACAGTGCAGTACGAGGACGTGCTGGCATCTGGGAAGGGGAGTGATGTGACGGATAGAGATGTCGACCAGGTAGTTTAGTGGTTAGAGCATAGACACGGAATGTTAAAGTCCTGGGTTCGAATCCTAGTATGGTCACACATTTTTCCTTTACAGAATGGTCAAAAGTTATTCCTGAGCAATACACGCTAAGAATGTTTCTTTAGCGCCAGAACATTCATTAAACATTTCAAATATATGAAATTACTCTACGCCCAATACTTAAAATGAGGTGCAAATGTCTTAGCACAAGGTGCGTTGTTTAACTTAAAATACCTGACGAATATTTCTTGTAAAAAGTTTCTTTCCATCCGTTTTCATAATCACCAACAATTTTCAATAATGACGTACACAGAGTTTTTACAGAGTTATTCTCACAATTAGCATTTAAGCCAGATAGTGTAGAAGTTTGTCGCACACTATTCCAGTCATCAGCTATCATAACACAATGAATAACATCCAGTGCCACCTAGAAATGAACAAAACATGAGTTAGTAGCAGAAGGCATTGAACAAATACGTGGATCTGAACGAGAAACAAAAGTTCTATTAATTTCACATTTGGATCAAGGAACCTAGGTTGTACCCAGTGCAATATTACAGTCAGCAACAGTTTACTACCATTAAGTTTATATGAACCTTTCTCAGAATAAATTTGGTGACTCAGTGAACGGATAGAACGTTTAGTGCTCTTTCTTGCATACACATTTATTTGATAGCCCTTGCTATCGTTTGCCGAGCCTAAACTTTCCGTTTGAAACTCTGCCAATTCGGAATAGCCATAAATGTTTTTATTGGAAAGGCGTCCCAACCGAATAACATTACTCTTCCGATCGAAAAAGATATTGTTACAGGAGATAAATAGTGGAGATTATCATTAGCTTTGTGTACTGTTTCATACCATCCATCATTGCCAGATCAATAGCGTTTTCATAACAAAAATTAATGACGAAATTGGTCAGTACAACTGCCGTAGATTTGGGGGCACAGAGTAGAGAACAAAAGTTGATACTTTAATATTTTTTCACAGTTCCTCGATCAAATGAAATCAGTTTTCACTTATCAACGTTACTTTCACAAAAGATTTGAACGCTGTAGGAACAAATTCACCTAAAGCCTCAAGATTTTGAACAACTTTAGCAGCTCCAATTCACACAGCGATATGGCTTCCACCTTGTCGTAATTGTTACGATGCAAAACGTTTTTGTTGTCTAAGGTATTACCAAGTTTAACTCATCGACTGGTTATAACCGACAACAGCATATTGAAAAATGCTCAAGACAAGATTTATCTAGCAGCCATACGTTACACTGCACGTATATAATGTTTATGAAAATATGAAAGACTTACATAGTAGGATTTAATACAGCACCATAAATAAATATCACGTTTTCGATATTCAAGTAGCTCTTTCAGGTTATATCGGGCTTGCAGTAACCATTTTAGTGCAGTAGATGGTTGCGGATTCTTTCTTCGTTCACGTCTGTGAGATTGTGTTGCTGAACCAAAATAATAAGAAAAATTCGTCTTTCTACCCTCATAGGTATATCCGGAACGGGAAGAATTTGTGAAATGAAAATTTCTTTCATCGTTTCCCTGAGTCTGATCAGTTGATGCATCGCCTAGATTAAATAAACGAGCAAGACATTGCTGCAAATATTGAAATGCAACAACATATAATGGTATCTGCTTCATGTGTTTATCTGGATGATATTCCAACATTAAGCGCCTAATAGCTGTTCGTCGTTCTTTTCCTGCTAATGGCTTAATCTTTTGTACATCTTTATCAATTTGTTCTTTTAATGCTTCTGAACATGCAAATCTGTGTGCTTCATCTTCTTCTGTTGTTGGCATATTTGTTAGCATGATCTGTTTATTATTCACAATATCATCATTATTTCTCATCGGTATTTCATTCAATGATGGCTTATTGAATCGATACAAATAAACCGCACTGATTATTTCATATTTTCGTGGTTCAATTTCAACTTCATATTTTTTTTCAAAATCATTTTCATGATCTTCAATCAACTTCGTAATTCGTGCATGACGATATTCTGGTGGATACTCGGTTATTTCCATAATGTTATCCAAATCTTCAACAATTTCATCTGCATCGTCACTCGTGTGAACTTCTCGAGCAATATAATCTCGTGGCGCACAAGACTGAATTCCGGGTACAAGATATTGTAAATCTGCTAATTCAACTAATGAACCTAATTTTGGTACAAAGGTTAAATTATCAAATACAGTTTCTTCGCCTTCTTGAATATTATGATCATTTAATAGTTTTTCATAGTCTTGTACATCACCACGTATTATATCACGAATAACTTTAAATAATCTATGTGATTCTTTTGTGCTCGTCACATTCTCGCAGAAAGTAGTATAACATTGTTGTTGAATTGTTTCGGTTACTTCATCGCAAAAACGTGTAGTATCGTTTTTTTTCGAAATGTCATAAATATATAAAATATAACTCGTATATCCATCATCATATATCTTTTTCAAATGTTTTAAAAGTTCAATTTGGCTATTATCAATCATTTGATTTGTTTTTTTATTAAATATTGATGCCTTAATTGGCTCTTTTGTGATATATATTTCTAGTTCATGAAGAAATTGGATTAATTTTCCTATATTTTCTTCCGTTGATTTTGACGGGAAAAAATGTTGTACGATACGACTGATGGCGCGATAAAATTCACTTGTATGAATTGTTTCAGCCAATGATGATACCTCTATTGAATCGTCTGTAACACAATCTTCATTAACTCGTTCATCTAATATGTCTGATATGGGTGTTAAATGTGGAAAATACCGTTTAATTCTGTTTCCTTTGCAGTCACTTTCCAACTGTCGGATTTTATTTTCCAATCGTGCATTATTATTCGATGATGCAGTTTCTTCTAAATAATTACCAAATAATATGTGACAAAAACATAACTGTTTTATTTGTTCAGATTTACTGATTAAGTTTTTGTATTTTGGTTGATCAATATAGTGCAGTTGTTGACTTGATGTAAGAATAAAACAAAGATTCGGCAAATAAACATCTTGATATGTTATTGCTTTCTCGCATTCTGGACGATCGTCATCCATTTCTGATCTCATATAATATAAAATTGCTTTTACAACTGTAACACGATCATTTGGATCCAAAATTTTCTGTGGGCTTTTTTCGTATAAATTCTTTAATGCACGGATACAATGACTGCATGAAGGTTTATTTTCGACAGGAAGTGCAAGTAAAAATGCTATAATACCTTGTTTATAATCTTTATCGTTCACATCAATAGCGAAGAAATATGGCCATATGGTATCATGCCATTCTGTAGTTCGTATAAAAATATCATCCGGTGCAACTAATCTAACGTTGAGCGTATTATTTACATTTATTCTTTTCATTGGTATGAATCTCGTATTTCGTAGTTTTTCTTTATTTTCCTTCCCAAGTTCAACTAGTGCGCGACACCATTCTTGGCATAATTTTAATAAAATCAAATAATTCTCTTCTGAGATATCATTATCATTTGTAAACCGTTGAGAAACTTTTTCTATACATTGTATTATTGTTTCTAATTCTGGTTGTTGACAAATTTTACATTGTTTCAAAATTTTCTCATCTAACGACGCTAGTTTTTCAGGTAGAATACCAACTTCAGTCCAACATAAACTTGCCTTTTTATGTGTACATGCATTTTTTGTAGCTATCAGACGTGGAGATGCTTGTACGATCTGCATTAATTCATCATTTACAGCGTTAGGGATGAATTCGATAAGACTTGCTTGTTCGAAAAACTGATCTGAATATTGTTGGGTTCCTTTCATAATGCTGAATGCTGCTTGTACACCATTTTCGTCAAGCATGTTCTTCTTGCTTAGTTCTTTCATAACGAATAATGCGTTTGCTTGATTGACTTCAGTTTGTAAACCGATGTATGACAAAAATTGTAGCCATTCTTTTTTTCTAAATTCTCCTACAAGGAAACGTGAGCTGGGAAGAGCAAGTTGAAATACTTCGTTATTATGATCGTAGAAATATGACGCAGATCGAATATTTTCATCAGTGTCCTTTATAAACTTGAAAGATTGTAGTTTTAGTTTAAGTGTATTGTCTTTACAATCAAATGGTTCATACTTAGTTCGTAAATACTTCATATGTTCAACACGGTCCATCAACTCAGCACTGGTTAAGCAGTCCAATATGGTACCATATAACGCATAAACGTCCATGAATTTTATCTTGAGATACTTTTGTATTGAGAACTGAACATCACCACGATGTTTCAAAAACTGCATATCGAGACGTCGACTAACTTCATTAAGATGGTTCAACGGCATCTGGGAGGATACATATATTCGCTTTTTGTCCGAGAGTCTTTCATAATGTCCATAAATATTCATAAATATGGGAAGTTTTTCGATTTTCAGTGCATAAAATTCAGGGTTTTGGTGGGCCCTACATGACGTAAGAATGGAGTTACAATAAATAAGAATATTTCCATATGCCTCATCATCGAGTTTTTTGTAGAAATCAGGCGTACGATCAGATAATGCTGATAAAACATCAAGCACTTGTGTTGGTTCACCAATGTCCTGTACCAAATACTTCAAAATATTGATTACATCCTGATTCAGATCATCTTCATAGTAAAAAAAGGTCGTATTCAACACTTGAACTTTTGCTTTTGATAAATAATAGAGTTCCACTCGGCTGCCATAGTCTTCATAGAATATCATGTCCACGACTGTAAATGGTGCAAAATGTACTTTTTTGTGTTTAGATGATTCGCCGTTATGACTCTGAATCGGTATTAAACACCAATACTTAATTGGTTCAAGTTCTTTTAATAAGACACGTTTTACATCATTTCTATCGCTTTCGGAATTACCTTTAACTGGTAATACTGATCTTAAGTTGTTTTCTAATATTAACCATATATTCAGTATATCTTTTATTTTAACATCTACGTCCACCTCACATTCCGTAAAAAGTTCATGACCGTTCTTACAAAATTTATCTTTGTCCAAGACTTTTGGTAACATATCAGCAAGATCATTAATTTTTAGCTCTCTTAGCCAACATTTCTGAAGTTCCTCAGTTTTAAAAAGATTTAACAATGTTGGATGCATAAATCGATCAAGGTAAGTTTGAAAAGTGCTCACATGCTGAAATCCGTATAAAGTATTATTCTTGTCGAAACAGGATACTTTGTTGTCAGCTCTCAATAATAGAGGGCAACCATTTAACTGCCCCCTTCTTACTTTCTCATCAAGCAATACAAATGATAGAAATATATATAATGACTTGTGTGTGAAAACTGTATCATCAATTGATGATACATTTGTATTGTGCGAGCTGTACATACGTAGTTCATTGCATAAGTGGACAGAAGTTAAGTCACGCATACTTTTTTTATCGTGTTTTATTCGGTCTATGAGTCTTCGTTCTTGACAAATTTTCGTATCAATCAATAGTAATGAATGATGGCAGTCGTTAATATACGCAGGATATTTATCTTCATCTGTTACTAAGTTGCGAACATATGATTCGAAAGCAGTTATAAAATATAGTTTGGGGTTCGATACATGAGTCCACGCGAAACTAGCTTTGGAAGCAATATTGAGGGTTGGAATAATGGTTAGAGCACGAGAGAAGAATGTTTCATATGCATTCTCAATTAGTAATTTAATAAGATTGTTTTCGATAGTCCCCGCATTCACAAACAAGGCCAAATAATGTTCGATCGATAGTGACTGGTTTTGCACTTGTTTAGCTGTAAGACAAACAACCTCAACATAACATTGACTTAATAAATATTCTGCAAGTGCTTCATTCCATAACCGTTTGGTATCTTTTTCAATATCACTTTTCCACAAATCATATCGACTTTCATTACTTAAACAAAAATAACCATGTACATGCATAGGAATATCAATACATACTGGTAATGGTAAAAAACAATATATGAAATGCTCTTTGTTTAATTCTTTTCGCTTTTGTTCATCATCTGAATTAGTCGAATGTGGTGATGATGGAACTGATGTATCATTTAGTAAATAAGCGCATGCACCAACTGGAAGGCACTTTAGTTGGTCGAAATTCTCGAGAAAATCTTTGTATAATGACTTCTGAATGCCTGATGTGAAGCCTATACCATTTGCAATCAAATACGATTGTTTTCCAGACTTTGTCGACGATATATCAACAGAATATGTGTGGATTGAGTGGCAATTACCTTCTAGCAAAGCTGATCGATTTTGGATATTGGACAATATATTAGACACGGTGTGAATACTAGCCTCGTCATCTGGACCTTGTGGACAAACAGTAACTTCTTCTATACTACAAATTTCACCATTTTTATTGAGCTTAGATAGTTTAACTGAACGAATGTTCCTTAGAAATAGCACACATTTTGGTAGTTCATCAACTAAAGAATCGAGAAGGTTGATTATGCTTGGATCACTATAGACTTTTCCAGATATTTCGGATATACTAGCCCGCAATGGTAGACGGAACATAGTTCCCTTTTTCAAATCAAAGATGTCTGGTAAAAATGTTTGGAACACATCAGGAAACCTCTCAATAAGTTTTGCGTCACATTGACGGCCTGGATTGTTTGTAGTAACACATGGCATATACTTTAGTAATGGATCAAAGATGACAAATTTATCTGATGACATAAATGTGGGAACATCTGTTACATGATAAACGGTATTGAATCCAACACCATATCGACCAATTTTGTGTACATTATTGTTTTTGCTGCCTTCACCGAGGTCTACTATGCCTTGAAAATAAAATATTTCATTTTAAGTCCGAAAGTGCTAGACATGTCGAGAAGTACAAAAATGCTGAGAAAAGTTATGTTTATTAGTGAGCAAAAATTGAAGAGAAACAGGTCTATCTTTGTGAGATGTACGAGATTTTAGTGATTTCAAACAGAATCTCGTCCTAAAATCAATCCTAATAAGTAATCATTCCCCTTGTCTGCTCCTTTTCTAATCGTCCTCTTTGCCGATAATATATTTTCATTTAAGAGAAATATAGGACCACAGGTATAAAGCGAAGTTTCTCGAAGAGGTATTCAACCCGCATGTACTGACGCGTATACGCATATACTCGTGTATATTGCACCTGGCATGTCGCTCCTATAAATTTTGAAAGTAGAAACTTCGAGCGAGATTCATTGTAGACCCTATCGCTTTTGTTACACTGGCACATGTAGTAAAGCGGAAGTGTCATACGCACCATATCTGGCTGATTAAATACGTGGCAGCTGATTTAAAAAGTCGCTAAAATCATAAAGAACCTCTAATCCAGTATCATACAAGACGTATTAGAAGGTCTTCGACGTGGTATTCATAAGAGAGAAAGCGGATTTATCATAAACGGTGGAAGATTCGACCAGGTCTGCTATATTCAGGTATTATGGTAAATCTACCAAATGTCTATCAACAGAACGCTGTAGGTGCGGGCAGATTTTCATTTATTTTACGCATGCCGCATCCAAAGATTTAAAAGACGGCATTTCCTGTAGTACTGCTTGGTACACACTGACGCTTTACCACAAGTGTGACGAGACATGCCACAGAAATAGATTGTTACTAAAATATTACGGGCTGGAACAAACTCTACCTATGATTAAAATGTGCTTCATAGTTCAGGAGGAAGAACATTGGCCTAGAAAACCGATGCCGCTAAGCTCGATTCTCGATCGAAGCATACATTTTCTTTCTCGTGTTTGTTTCTCAGTTTCTCCCACACCCCAAAAATATGTACACTAATTGATACTTTCCAAAATATATCCAATGCTTTTTTCAAAATCTTCTATTACCTCTCTGCGCCGGATTCTTTTGACAATACCATCAGGAAGAACGATAGCGAAAACCTTCAAGGTCAGAGGTTTAGCTAAATCTGACCATAGGGGCTATTTTGTTAGTTTTCTCATGCGAGACCACTGTACCCTGCAGACGGTAGAAGAAGTAGATGGTTACCTGCGGTTTATCAAAGGGACCGACCAGAGTATCATGTAACACTGCAAGACTGTGGATAAACCACACTCTATGAAGAGTCTGTCAGAAGTCAGACAGTGGCGCAGAATATTTGCTTGTAGCACTCCCCTTTGGTGTACCATTATAGGATCTTCGGGGTGGCAACCGTGTTTATGGCTCATAGCGTCCTGTCAGTGGTTACCAAATGGGACTTCCTCGGTTCAAACTTGCGTGAAAGGTGTATAACTTTATTCCACTAGCGTCAAGCGTATCGTGAAGTTTTTTTCAAACAAATGATTGCGTATTACAAGCATATGCAAATCAAGTCCAAAAAGGAATACCAGTACAAGGAGAATTTACCTTTGAAATCAGCGTCTGAAAATTGACTGTCATTGTAACACAACAAAGCCGGGCCTTGGACTGCTGCATAGTTTTGAGTTACACCTATATTTGTCACATTCTCTTTTGGTGTAAAAATTCTTTCTGTTGAATGGTAACGTGGGTCGTAAATAAAATGGACTGTAGTTGCACCAGCGTCATCTGCATTTTGCAATAGTTCTTTCAGAATATCTTTATCTTGTGGATATGATTCAAGTAAATGCCGTATTCTTGTTGTTAATTTTTCGTGTTGACCAAATGGAATACCAATAGAACAATCTTCAATTAGTTTTTGTTGTAACATTCTTACACCTAATATTTGTGCGATATTCACTGGTATACTTTTGTGTAATGTTAGCATATCTGCTTCAATGACATTTTGTTCACTTATATTGTCAATTTTAAAGCACAAATCTTTGATTGATCTTAATATACAATTAGTATCCGGTAAATAAACTTCTTGACTTTTATTGAAACTTTCTTTTTTTCTGTGTAAAACTGCAAACAATTCTAGTGTCATTTTAATTGCACATTCTAAATCTGTTTGTGATAATGGCTGATCATTGTAACTTTCTTTGAGTGTTTTCAAGAAAACAATGAAATATTCATTTGTAAAGCACTCTTTAATTCCTAATTTATTGAATAATTTATACGATTTATACATTTGTGGCAGTTGAACATAGAATGGTGCACATGGATGTGTAACACATTTAGCAACATTATCCACACTATAAAACTGTCCATCAATAAAAATCCATTTTGGAGGCATTAATTCTCTAACTTTCTGTAATACATTATCATCTATTGTTCTTTCTTCTAACCTTTTATACAGATTACTGACAACTCTGTCGGTAAACTGATCAATGAAATCAACAGTATTTATTTCGGTAATAGGATTAGTATTCGCTGATAGTGAATTTTTTCTTTTTAACCACTCAGTTTCTAATATACGCATTTGTTTTGCTAGAGATTCAACGGGTATTTGATTATTTAACTGAAGTTTTTCAGATACTTTACCACTAATTAATTCATTTTCATATAAGAAATGAACACTGCCACAAACATATTCATGAGTATCACTGTATATTCCATCGATAGGTGCACAAAATCGATTCTTATTCGCTCCGTACCATTCCATTTTGTATAATACTGGTTTTTGTTTGACTGGTATAAACTTGATATGTAACAGGTTTTCGATACCTTCACTTGCCTTTGGTTTTTGTAGCATTTGAGCTATACATGTCAGCAGCAATTTGCTACGTTCAACAGCTTTTTCATAATCATTTTCATTCAAGTTTTCGATAGTATGTGCGCGTTCCACAATATATGCCATTGGTAAAAATTGTTTGATTAGTCCCAAGTGACGTAACTTCTCAACAACCGTCTGTTTGCGATAAACTGAATCTGGAAGAGAATCATGTGGTTGATCAAGATCGTATAGTTTAGCAAATGATGCACTCGGATCGATCAGCGATGATGGAGGCTTGAATAGACCTGAGGACGAACGTATGCTGTTATTTTTTCTTATTGAATCACCGATTTTGGTTGGTATAGTCGTTGAATCAACAGATTTTTCTGTTATAAGATAAGACATAATTTGGTCGAGTGCATTTTTATTACATTGTTGTACAACTGTCAGTAGTTTTTCGACAGATTCTTCTTCATTCCATACTTTTTCTTTAGCGACATTTTTATTTGCTTCAATAATTGCCTTTAGAATGGCTGTTGGTAAAATTAATAGTAAAGGTTTCACACTATAAATTAAAGAAGACGGTTAGTATGCGTTTGAATAGTATTGTTGTCAGGAATGACACAATAAAGGCTTTCTGTAGAAATATCCTTCCCTGTAGATTCTAACTAAGTGCTGTTCTAAATGGTGTGATATTGGTAATCTGTGATGGACCACGAGTAGTGATGAACAAACGATGCTCCTCTATTAGACATACGATGTCAATATTGTTGGTAATCAAAAGAAGTTCGTTCTCACACATCTTTCCGCAAATGCACACAAGGAATTTCACACAACTACATCATTCACATACAACAGATATTAGACCAATCCTGATGTTAATCGGAAGGTCGGATAGGTTGCCGGCCCATGTTTTTCAATGGACGCCGGCCCAACAGTTTTCACCCCTGTTGGCATTTTTCTAATAACAGGCAGACATCAGAATTTTTTTCTCATAAACCATTTTTTCATGGATAATTATCATTGATGAATCATCTCTGATGCTGAAAATGCCATCATAGATTTAAACAGCAGGTCTGTGGAGAACTCAAGTCTTTATCGTATGAGACTGGAACCAGATCTTTTGAGCATTCCGAAGTGCTTCAAAAATAGGAAAAGATTTTGACCCGTTTGTTATGGGCCAGCCATTAATCTCATTAGATCTAATAAAAAACGATTTTTACGTCAAGTCACTAGATTTGTAGACTAACTTTTGACTAAGGAGGAAACATTTCCAAGTGATCCAGCTTGATTTGACTGATATTTCACTGATGGATCTAACAGAAATTCTAAAAGAGTTCATCTTCATGCGGCTTCCTTTGCAAGTTACGATCGATCTAGGGAAATTCGAAGTTTTGATATTTTAACTATAGCTGACTGTTCAAACCTGCTGAAGAGCTGAAACTCGCAGCAAAGATAATCCTAGGTATAGCTTCTATGCAGTAAAAGCTTCAGACTTTATTTTTAT